GTGAAGGATTAGAAGTCATAGAGGTGTCTTTGGACTTACTGTATGGGTTGTGTGTAATTTTGAATGCTTTTAGATGGACATTTTTGTGTTCCGAACAGCGGGACTTCTTTAGGTAGAAACACTATTACTACTAAATGGCATGACAGCTGGGCAGTCTGTCAGGTGTATTTGTTTAAAACCTGTCAGCATTGGATGAGTGCTATTGATACATTCAGTGGTTCAATGGGACAGCCTGCAGCTAGGCATGGGGTTCCCCTGAAAAGGGTCAGACGCCTTTGAGGGTCTTTTATTTTATTTATCTGGAATGAAACCAAACTAGAGTCTGAAAACAGAATTTTAACAGGAGCTGTTTTCTATAATAGAACCTATTTAATTATGCTTGTGTGTGTTGCATTGGTAAATAGGCATGCCTTACGCTTTGCCAACATATATTCTGTGTGTTTAATATAATAGGGGAAAAAAAATAGGCATATTCAAAATGTATTTGCAAAACTAATCAGGCCATCGAGCAATATTTAGATTTTACTGAAAACCAGTCTATATATGTTAAACATTTGTACTGTGTGCTACTTTTAAAACATTTAAACTCAAAAATAATACTTTTTTTATATTTAAAACATGTACAGAAGTTTTTTTTTAAATAAAACAATAGTAAACATAAAATTAAAAAGCTAATAAGAATCATGTTTACATACATACCATAATACTACTTTGCAAATAGCATGTTTCAGCCACAATTATTCAAGTCCAGGAGAGAGTAAACAAAAATATCTGCAGTTAAAAGAAACCAAGGAGCTTGACTATAGCAAGAAGAGAGAGCGAAAGAGAGAAGAAATGAAAGAAAGAAGAGGAGGTGAGAGAAAGGGAAAGAAGAAGTGATCCGACATGAAGTTCAGAGGTGAGCCCAACCCCCAAAATATCCAGCTCTCAGAAAAAAAACTGGGACAAATATAATTACTTTAAGGAAACATTGTTCTTTTTTGTTGAGAAAAAAAAAGAAAAACAAAATTATACTGTTTGCATATTCAACCCCTCTGTATTTCTCATCTTTTTTGCAATGTTTGTCCTGGCCTTGTCTTATGCAAAATGGAACATCATAAGTAAAAAAGTTAACGGGAGACTGTCATCACTTACCTGTCCCTCTGCATCCCCTCCACAATCTCCTTACAGAGCTGGATGTTACACTTTTGTAACACCCACCTCCAGGCCGCCTACGCTCCTTTTCTGTTTTTTGTTGATTTACCCTGCCTGGGGACACTTTCCCAAGCAAGGCAAACCTCCTACATGTCTTTGACATGCTGGTTTAGTTGCCTGCATGCTGGCATCTGAATGGAGTATCGAAGAAGAAAAAATATTGCACAGCAGTTAGGTATGGAGAACTCTAACTACATAGGTTAGGAAAAGTGTACAAAGCAATATCACTGTGGCTGGAAATTCCAGACAGCTCAGTTAGATCAATTATCTGGAAGTACAGGCTACATCACATCACCCAAAAACTGCCTAGAAAAGATCTTCCTCTAAAACCCCGTACCCAAGCAAGGAGAAGCAAGGAGAAGATTTGGGTGGGAAACCAAAATGAGGCCATAAGTCCTTTTAAAAGAGCTTCAGATCTTAGTGGCTGAGACTGTATTAAATGTGTCAACAATTTCTTGAGCTCTGTATCAAATGAGCCTGTATGCGTGGCAAGAAAGAAGCCATCACTCAAAACAAGTCGTATGAAAGCATGTCTGATGTTTGATAACAGGTAGAAGGCTAATGAAAATAAGATATGGGAAACATTTTTGTGGTCAGATGAGATCAAGATCGAACAGTTTGGTCAGAATTCAAATTGGTCTGTGTGGAGTAAACAAAACACTGCCATACCTCAGCAAACACTATCCCTATATTGAAGTATGATGGGGACAGCATCATGCTCATGGGATGCTTTTAATCAGCAGGAACTAGGAATCTTTGGAAAATTGAAGCAAGGACAATGCCACAAGATAACTTTTTTTTTCAGTCTAATACAAAGATAAAGATAGAAAGTCTAAGGCAAAAGTAAACTTGGAATAGCTCACTGTAACGGACCGTTTCAGCACACAAGGGGTTAAAACCGTTTAGGCGATCGTCCCCTTTCAGAGATGAAGGCACAGCTACTGTAGAACACCAAACTCATGAACCGCATGTAAGGGAATACTCCAAACTCCCGAACGGCATCCAATAAAACACTCCAAACTCACGAACTGGAACCATACGAATAGCTGCTAGCAGACGAATAGGAAAATCATCCAAGCGGCTTACACTCCTAGCAATCAGTCTCTATCAGCATTCAGTAAATCCCCCCAAAGACGAGACAAGGTTCCGTGTTGAGGGTCAAGCAGTGGTCTGTTTAATGAGGGCCTACCTGCCCAGTATTTATGCAGGTCTCCCACCTGGTGGACACTCTCCTAGGGGACCAAATGGGAGACTGTGACAAAAGACAGACAGTCAGCAAAATAGGACACACAGTCACATTATATTCCCACAATGCATCCTGGCTTCCTCCCCTCTGCCCTGGAAATAATTGAGAAGTAATTCAATTATCTCCCAGGACAAAGGCAAATCGCCATTATGCACGTGGGGATACTAAAATAAGAATTACTATTAAAATACACTATATGACACAAGTTACAATAAAACTATACATTTAACATATCCCAAGATAGCTCAGGTCTGAGCGCACATTATTAAGCGAATGGCGCTCAGACCACACGAATACAGTTTAATCGCCATGGAGCCAAAGTCTTCACAAAGTCAGTTCTCATACGAATGAGCTCCATGGGATTCCTATCTGGGGTATAGTGCAGTCAGGTACAACATCTGAATGCCGGGCCGTTCGTGTACTTCCACCGAACAAGAAGGGAGGTCGGCGGCTTCTGCGGTGTTCGCGCCAAACTGTGTCCGTTTTTAGTTCCATGTATTAAGCAGCGAACACCGCTGTGCGTTCGCGTGTTTAAAATGGCCGTGACCTCATGTTCGTTATACGAATGGCGGCCACCCAGTATTCATCAATTAAGCTGTGGTTAACCGCAGCTTCTGGGAGGCTAATTGCCGGCACACTCCAGCTCCCAGGTGGTCTCGTCATTCGTGCGGTTTTTCGGTAGATTGAATCTACCGAACACCGGGCAGAAAATCACGAATAAGTATTTTCTGCAGGGGAAACAAAGTCTTTTAGCATGGGGCCATAATCCAAAGGCAGCAGGCGAGCAACCAGGCTTCTCCAATGCAATGTGGCGAGGTTGCTCTCATCACACTCACACATGTTAATATCCTACAGTGGCTTAGTCAAAGTCCTGATCTCCATCTTTTTGAGAATCTGTAATATTGTTTGAAAATTCCAATCCATAGGCACCTCCCTACCAGCTTAAACAACCTGTAGCAAATCTGTCAAGAAGAGTGAGCAAAATTCTCAATGGACTGATTATGTTTATTCCCATTGTTTTTACTCCATCACTCTTGATTGTGTAAACTGTGATGACATACAGAAGTGTGTTCAAGGATTGGTGAACATAAGAGCAAAATAAGGATGAAGTCTAGGACTTGGTTTCCAAACACCATAAATGAATACTCTGCAACTTTGAAAAGAGGTGGTGACAGGATTTTATTAAAGACCCGGAGGCTCCTATTATGCTGCACTCTTTCTTTAATTCCCTCAGCAGAAAAGAAACATAATTTAAAAAAAAAAAACATTTGAAACAGGTATAACATAGTGACAGTGTCCGCCTAGTAACATGACCATCCAATCAGTGACATCCTTCTCCTATAGTAGGCGGAGAATCGATGACCATTTCCTCTTTCTTTGCTGTTCCCTCAGATAAGTAGACCTCTCACAGCTCTGGCTGTGGGATTCTATAGTTATTTGTGATTACATGCTAATTATATTTATTATATGATAATTATATTGCGATCTTTGCTTTACATTTTTCAGTGCGGTAATGTAAGCATAGTTATTTGTGATTACATGGTAATTATCTTTATTATATGCTAATTATATTGTGATCTTTGCTTTACAATTTTCTGTACTGTAATGTAAGCATATGCCTTTAAGATTTCTGTTTGTTTTCTGACTAGAATTGAGTTTACCACTCTTCCTGCAGTAGATTTTATTATCATTCTTTTCTCTTATGCTCGTTTCTCCCTAGGACTCTGCAAGTCCTAGGGAGGTTTTTTTCCTCCGTGTAACCGCCGCCGTTGCGGCTGCTGGAACTGCCTCAATCACCCGCACATGCGCATCCCATCAGAGACGCCTCCGGCGGCCATCTGGCAGCTTGGCTGCTGTGTCCGCGCTCGGTTTACGAAATCCCGTGCGTGGTCTCAGCCGCATTTACCTGACCCCTAGCACGACAGTTGGCTCTTACAGAGCCCCATAAATACCTCCGCGGTCTCGCGGCTAGCTTTTTTCAACCGCAGCAATCATTTTCTTTATCTAAAAAAAAAAAATCAATCGGGCCATTTTAAACGGCACTTTTGCGCCCTTTTCTCTCGCGACACGCCCACTCCGTCCCTTGATCGGAGTTGGTGTCCAGTTTTAGTGGCGGACGGTTCCCCTTTCTCCTGCTTCCCTCCATATTTTGATAATAGCTGTGAGTACTAGTATTTCTCTTGCTTTATTAAAAAATGTTTGTATCCTGTATCTTGTCTGGGTTACTTAACCCTGCTCCACAACACTTGCTAATTAAAGTTACCACTGACAATTCCTGTATATTGTTTAAATTGCACTAATGCAATCCTCTAATGATCTTCCCGGTCCCTCTGGTACACAAGCTGACCCTCAACTTGCCTTGGGTTTTCCCCCTGTAGTTTCTGGGGATGCAGTGGATTTCCCAGCATCAGAGGAAATTCAATCTATCATGGACACTACTGTGTCCAAGTCTGTATCTAAAGCTCTGGCATCTGTCATGGACATAATCTATTTCTCCTCTATTTCAAAATGATTTACCCAAGCACTAATACAGGCCCAATTAATGGTCCCTCCGACAGCCATGCCAGTCGCGATACCATCTATCTCTCACCCCCCACGCCCCGGCCGCAAAGTCTTGGTTAAAGCCAAGCACTCCTCCAAACTAATGATGGACAGCAAAACACCTGTCACAGATGGCGCAAATAATGAACCATCGTGCAAAAGAACCTCTAGCCGGGCAAAAACGGCTAGACACTGGAAATGGGCTAAAGCCCAGCCTGATACCACTGAGTCAGAACTCAGTTCAGATGAGGAGAGTGCCCCTACCCTAGACATAGATCAGTCTAACGATTTGTCCGACCTAGATTCGGAGTACGGAAAGGATGAGGAGTGTAACCCCTCCACTAAAATACATATCAGTGGCATGTCCAGTTCCGATTTACACAAAGAAGGTAAAATCCTTGACCCGCAGGATGAACCATTCTTCAAGCCCGATGACTGACTTCACCCCCGCTCTGCGGAATGGTCACCGGCTGAGCATGTGGCGCAATACGTCGCATCCCAGGTCTGTAAGCCTTTGGATAAGGCAACACAAAATAAACTGAGGGCTGAATGAGTACGCCCCGGTACCTGACGAGGTCTGTAAGACACCCCAAGTTGACACCAAATCATACAGTTTTTAAGCAAAACTGGTTGGAAAACTAAGAAAGGTCTAGACTTTTCGTTTTATAATTGCCAAGACAAAGTCTTGGATATTTTAGGTCCAGCGATCAAAATGTTTGAAGGCGTGGAGGAATCCTTGGCTCAAGACGAAGCTTTAGATAGCCTCACTATTAGAGGTTGGATTCAGACAGTGATATGCCTCATAGGCAATGCCAATACGGCTCTTGCTACAGAGCGCCGTAAATCTATTCTGATTAAAATAGAACCAAAACTCGTAAATATGGCAATTACTGAGCCAGGAGCCCAAGCAAAAGGGTATCTTTTTGGAGAGTCTTTCATGAAAGACCTGGGCTCCTATGTCCAAACATTCACAATCTAATCTAAAAAGGTTGTTATGCCCGAAGGTTTTTGTTGGGGCCGGCAGAGCAAGGGGCCGTCTGTCCAGCAGAGTCAATAGAGGTTCGCGCCCGAACCGAGGCTCCTATATGGGGAGACCCTCCTTTCCCGACCAGAGGTCCGCTCCGACCTTCTTTGCCCAATGAGGCAGACCTTGGGTGTCGAGAGGTACACGAGGCGCTCCTTCCGGAAGACGTCCTTACGGTAAGCTACCTTTCTCAATTTTCTTCACATGTGGCGATAGGGGGCAGACTCACACATTTTTCCCATGTCTGGGCTCTCATTATATCAGATGCCTGGATACTCAGGGCAGTCCATGGGTATCTAATAGATTTCGTATCCCTGCCTACCCAACTCTCCCCACCTTGGGAGATTGTTTTTTCCCCACTAGATACGACCCTCGTCTCCGAGGAAGTTCGAGACTTGGCACTCAAAGGTGCTGTGATGAAGTGCCCTTCGCCACTTGGTCCTGGAGAGGCCTACTTGCCAGCCTCCTCCCCTGTGACTATGACTCTTTCATCTATCTGGCTTTAAAGCCCCTAGTCTACCTTCAGACAGACTATTTATGTGGGCTGCTTTATTTATCCTATGTTTTAGTCACCCTGTACCCATTATAGGTGCAGAGTGTGTGTAATGTAATTGTTTATAGTGTGTGTGTGTGTGTACTGTGTAATGTATTGCCTGCTCTCTTGTATTGCTGAGGTTTGCTACCAACTAGGTGGGTTTGGCTATGGAGCTGGTCTTGTGCCCTCTGTTGGTAGCAACAGCAATATGCACTACCTGAATTGCAAGACTGGTTCATTTGCATATTCGGGTAGATTTGCATATTGCTAATTCTGCAGGCAGGTGAGATATTTACTGTTAAATATTGTCTCCCCCCACCCCTTTAAAAATGTGCCATTGTGTTGTGATAAGTCACTGTGTGTTTCTTGATATGGTTTGACTGTTTGTGATTTTATTGAGGTTTCACAACAATGTTATTGTGGTGACTGTATTGGCTGGTCCCAAGGGAATAAAGGTTTTGACAGTTCTTCTTGATCCCTCTAAACGTAGCCTTGTCTCGTTATTGGAGGGAGCTGTTATAATCACACTGGGGATTGCTATGCTCTGCATGCTCCCCTGAGCTTGAGTCACTTAGCTCTTTTAAGAGCTTGTTCCTAACACGCTCTCCTTGGAGGAGGGGTCTTCACCACACAGTCCTGGATGCTGGAGGTTCATACAGGGTGGAAGGAAGAGTTCTTTCCCACACAGTCCTGGAGGACAGAAGCTGATCCAGGGTGGAAGGAAGACGGCGAGACTCCAGTCAAGATACGGTGGTTGCGGAGTCTGTGGTGGTTGTGGTGTCTGCTGCAGCGCTTGGAGTTCTCAGGAAGCGCTAGGAGCATCCGTCAACGGAGGGTACTCAGTCGGAGTACAAGGAGCTCCGTTACAGGTGCTATTCAAGAAATCCCGATGCATACCTCGGGTTTTGTGAGCAACCTATTTATTGTCCCACAAAAGGGGGCGGATCCCGCCCAGTTATCAATCTCAAACAATTAAATACCTATGTAACTTACCATCACTTCAAGATGGAAGGCATTCATTGCCTACGAGATTTCCTCCAACCAGCAGACTGGATGGTCAAACTCGATCTAAGGGATGCTTACCTCACGGTACCCATTGCGCAGGTGCACCAAGATTTCCTGCAATTCACATGGCAAGGAAGGAAATGGCGGTTCCGCTGCCTACCCTTTGGTCTCTCTTCAACGCCAGCTCATGAAGACAGTCATCGCTCTCCTACGCAGTAGGGGGATTCGCCTAATCATATATTTAGACGACATCCTGCTGCTATCCCAGTCAATTTCACTACTTCATATTCACCTTGGGTGGACCACAACCTTGCTACAGAATCTGGGCTTTATTATAAATTGGGAAAAGTCCATCCTAGTCCCCACTCAACAAATAGTTCCTAGGACTCTTGGTGGACTCAGCCATGCAAATCTTGTATTTACCAACATCCAAAATGAGAAATATCAAGAAAGAGATAAGTCCTTGCCTGTCCGCAAATATCTCACAAACATCTGGCCCGCATGATCGGGCTCCTAGCAGCCTCCATACAGGCCATATTCCCGGGCCCCCTTCACTACAGAGCCCTTTAATGCCTACAGGCGTCATACCTCAGTGGCGGCACCTCTTACGAGGATACTCTGACCCTAGACGCAGATGCGAAAAAGGAACTCCACTGGTGGCTTCTACACATGTTGGCGCCAATTGGGCTGCCTGGTGATATTAAACCCTCTATGGCCATCACAGCCCTGGTTCCCTCCTCTACTGGAGATGGCTATAGATCATCTGCGGCTCCTCCCGGATGCCCAATCTCTCCTACGGGACTCTGATGGGACCCTCCACCCCCTGATCCTCCAGGGCCTCCTCCGCCTCATGGCATGGCTGATTTCCGGGGACCCTGGTCAATCGAGGGAGTTTCGCAATGGACTCTCCGACTTCTCAAGGGCACATGGGCACCAGGCACAAAACAGTCTTACAAGTCTGCTTGGCGCACATGGGATGGTTGGTGCGTGGCATGTGGTGTGGATCCCCTATCAACTCCTGTGACAATGGTCCTTCAATTCTTGACCTCCCTCCTTGATAACGGGAAAGCTTACCGGACGGCAAACCTCTACCGCTCAGCTATTTCAGCCGGCCATGCCGGCATTGATGGGGCCCCGATAGGGCGACACCCACTTGTTTGTCGTCTTCTCCGAGGCATTCGCTTCGCAAGGCCACCTCTACCTCGCTATTCCTCCCTATGGGACGTGTCCATAGTATTAAATTTCCTGACTAGATGGCCAGACAACGAGTCTTTATCCTTAAAGCAACTCCCGGCTAAACTAGTTATGCTGTTGTGTCTAATCTCATGCAAAAAAAGTATCAGACATTGGAGCACTTGATGTCATTGCCTGCTCCTTCTCCCCAGAAGGAGTCGTTTTTGACATCTCATAGAGGTCAAAATCGTCCTCCCGGTCAGTCCTGTTGCCCAGTAGCGTGTCTTTGGGCATATGAAGCTCATAACGCACCCCTGCGGACTGGTTCGGACCCCCAACTTTTCATCTCCTTCCGTAAACTGCATGCTCCGGTATCTTCTCCTATCTTGTCCCGCTGGGTCAAATGGCTCATGTCCTTGGCGGGTATTGATACCTCCATATTTTCTCTGCATTCGGTTCGCGGTGCCATGGCCTCCAAAGCCTCCTTTACTGGTTGTCGTTTGGAAGATATATTGAAGGCGGCTGATTGGTCCGTGGAATCTACTTTCCGTAATTTCTATTTCAAACCAATACAGCATTTTGCAGAAGCCGTGATAGCACAGCTTTGAAATAGCATAATAGGAGCCTCCGGGTCTTTAATAAAATTCAAGGATTTTACCATTATCATAACGGAAAGTCATGATTTTATTAAAGACACGGAGGCGAGTATTATCCCACCCACCCACCCTTGGACAATTCAGAGGTGGCTCAAGGTAAGTTACAGACCTCTCCATGGTAAGTTCAATTTGGCTGTACTGATGCCATCACATACTTACATTGCTTTAAAGCATTATTTAATTTTGTAATTCTATTGTCACTATTGTCCTCGGACTGGTAGTTGCCTCTTACTACATTTATGATTTATTGTCACTGTTTAGTCAGACGTTTAGACCTCTATATATGATGACAACCCATGATTTCAAGACATTACCATATTTTCTTGTTTCTTTTAGTGTGACTTGGTTGAAAGACCTCTCGGAATCACATGCCTGGTTAAGGCTCGTTTGGTTTATTCGGTTATCCTGTTCCGAGTTTGAATTATTCTTCGGATTCGCAAGACAGAGGAAATGGTAATCGATGCTCCGCCTACCATAGGAGAAGGATGTCACTGATTGGATGGTCATGTTACTAGGTGGACACTGTCACTATGATGTTATATCTGTTTCAAATGTTTTCTTTTTCAAATGATGTTTCTTTGCTGCTGTGGGAATTAAAGAAAGAGTGCAGCATAATACTCGCCTCCGTGTCTTTAATAAAATTATGACTTTCCGTCATGATAATGGTAAAATCCTTGAATTAATAGACTGAATTGTACTGGATATATGAACATGACACTCCACATTCCAAGGGTTTAAATGTGGACTGATAACTATCCTGTTTTAGGTGATATTCTTTCCTCATCTCATTCCTAGGTCTCCTCTTTTGAAATATGCTATAATTTAATAAAAAAATTACATTTGGTATTATCCTGGGTGACTAGGTACAGTACACAAATATTTTTGCTCCCCTTATCTTGTTTTCTTTTTCATTGAGTTGCTAATAAATAATTAATAGCTATGTCATGATCTTTTTTTCTGTAGCAGACATGTCTTTTGCATTTTAGGGTATAAGGATTGGGATTCCAGAGTCTGCCAAAAATGTCCCTTGGTAAACAATATCTGATAACAGCGACCCGCTCTCTCATCCCTCCGCCATGTCAAAGACCGGACTGCTCCTCCTTTCAGGCTTGGCTCAAAAGGGTGGAAGAGATACATAAACATGAAGAGAGTACCGCCATGCTGAAGGGACATCTGACCCAATATGAATAGGTTTGGAGGACTTGGCGATTCTATTGTTGCACCCACAAAAATACAGCATGTAGTGCGGAGGGAGATTGGGTAACTGCAAAGGGTACCACTATATCTACTTGAATTTCGGGAACCTCGCAGCTCAGCCACTGATCCAGTCCTCCGTTTCAACCAACTCACCCCTCCCACACTTTCAGTTTCAGCCTTCCCTCCTTCCCCCTCTTTTTTTTTCTTTCCACCCTCTCTCCCTTCTCCTTAGTCCTACACCGATAGCACCCAGTGGTGTATCCTGGTTTTGTGCTGCCCTAGGCAAGGCAAAACTCAGGCACCCCTCCCCCCCCGTGCCAGCCCTAACCAACCCTTCCCCCCGCCCCACCTTCTAAATACACACACACACACATTCACTGACAGCTACGCATACACACGCTAACAGACACACTCACTAACAGACACACACACACTCACTAACAGACACACACTCACTAACAGACACACACACGCTCACTAACAGACACACACACACTCACTAACAGACACACACACACACTCACTAACAGACACACACACTCACTCTAACAGACACACACACACACTCACTAACAGACACACACACTCACTCTAACAGACACACACACACACACACACACACACACTGACACACACACACACACACACACACACACACACAGTCAGACAGACACACTAACAGACACAAACTGTCAGACACACACACACACTAACAGACACACACACTGACAGACACACACAGTCAGACACACACATACACACTAACAGACACACACAGTCAGACACACACATACACACTAACAGACACACACAGTCAGACACACACATACACACTAACAGACACACACTAGCAGACACACTCACACAGTCAGACACACACACACATTAACAATTTTTTTATTTTTTTTTAATTTACCCCCCCTTACCTTTGGGAATGCTGGGGGGTTCTCTATCTCCCTGGTGGTCCAGTGGCTGCGGGCGGCGCTGGGCGGGCGGCTGGCGAGGGAGCTCTTCCTCTGAGCTGTCCGCTCAGCTCCCACGCGCGCCGCAGAGTGAGGCTGGGAGCCGGAAGATGACGTCAGTCCGCGGCGCGCGAGGGAGCTGAGCGGACAGCTCAGAGGAAGAGCTCCCTTGCTAATGCCTTGTTTGCCTCGCGGCTAAAACGCCCCTGATAGCACCACTATCACCTAATCTACCTACAATTCCACCTACCCTTTCTATGACTGCTACTTGGACCTGATTATATTGCTACTCCATACTGTGCAGACCACAGCTGACTCATGTAGGTAAACTAACGGCTATGAGCCAAGCCACAATGGTTGCACCAAGGCTACTCATTCATTGCCCTAAGCCTGTTCAATGCCCGACTTATATAACGGGAGTATACACTCAGCAATTTGTACTAGGAGACTAATTACAGGCCCATCAGTGTGACTAGCTCACCGAATATGGGAGTATTATCATCCAGACAACATAGGCCCATTTACATGGCAAATTCTTTGCTGATTGAAGCTCTAAACACGCCACACTAAATGTATAGAATGCACTGGAGGTCTCACCTAGACCTAGAGGTACAATTGTATCGTCTTATTTTATTCTATTCTATCCTCTATTGTATCTGACAAAACCTTCAATAATAACTTAATTGTCAAAAAGAGAACATTGTAACAGATATCCCCCACCTGTGAAAGGCATTGTGATCATTTTCTATATATGCTTACTAGTTTTGTTTTCCTGTGAGGTTTCTTGTTTTCCATACCTTGTGACTGTCTTCATATGTAATCTATTTTCTATTCTGGAACACCGTTATAAAATCTGATATAAAAAATCTCTATTTAAATAAAGATTGTCAAAATTGCCCATGGTTTAAAAAGGATTGAAGTATGACAGTAAAAGAAGATTTTATTCTGAAGATCAACAGTTTATGTTTCTGTCTTTCATAGTATTCCTTATGACTAATGAAGTAATAAACAATATTTCTTATGAGTAATGAAGATGTGAAGAAGATTGAAGATATGAAGATTGATATATTTTCTATACAAAGATTAATTATGTACTTATTTTTATAATATTTTTCTTTTGTTAATGCTTATAAGGGATTTTCTTGTTTCAGTTTATTTTCCACTGTGTAATATTGCTTAATCCTGCTATGAAATTGTATTTGGATAAACAGATATCTAAAATGACAACAGCAGACAGAGACACTTTGTAAACTTTTACATTTGTGTATTTATTCCTAGTCTAGCAATCACTATCAGGGTTATTCACCCAAGTGAGAATTCAAAATGAATTCAAAGTGAATTTCAAATTTAAGGCCAAAATACTAAACTTCCCAGTGTGGATGACACCTATTCCACAGGACTCTAAAGGAGTTTGAAGAATTGTAAAGGGCACAGGTACACCTATATAAGGGAATCTCGGTTCTGTACACGCTGCTCCGGTCTTCCAACCAGCCCGAATCTGCAAAACATATAGCACATTGGTAAGAGCCACGGGTGTCATGCTCTCCGACCTTCAGTGAATGAAAATCCACATATTGACCAACCAGAGCTCCATGTGCTCCAACATTTCCAACAACAGAAACTCAACTACAAATTATTGATTGGATGGTACAGAATGCCAGACAGAATACATTGTATGCTGCCTGAGGCCCCTGAGACCTGCTGGAGATGTGAGGAAAATGTGGGCTCGGATCTCCACATTTGGAGGTCTTGCAGAAAACGAACCCCTTTCTGGACTGACATCCATGCAACAATCAAAGACATACTAGACTCAGACTTCCCGTTCCAGCCGCTCCAGATGCTCCTTCACCACACCACAATGCCTCTGTTAAGGTATAAGAAGTCACTAACCAAACATCTTCTAAATGCAGCCAAACTGCTAATTCTGGATAAATGGCATTCCACTGAGGTGCCCACCCTCCAACAGTGGATGGACAAGGTTGAAGAGATACATGAGATGGAAATGCTCACAGCCTCCCTGAATGGAAGTACGGAATACTGCCTGCAAAGGTTGACCCCGTGGATTGATTTCATATCCTGACAATTGACCTAGAAAAACTAATCCATACCTTCACCCTGGGGACAGAATGAGAGGATATTACCTCCAGGCAGTGGTGTATCCTGGTTTTGTGCTGCCCTAGGCAGGACAAAACTCAGACACCCCCTCCCCCCGCGCCACCCCTACCCCCGCCCCACCTTCTAAATACATACACACACACAGTCAGACACACACACAGTCAGACACACACACACAAACAGTCAGACACACACACACACACACACACACAGTCAGACACACACACAGTCAGACACAGACACACACACACACATAGTCAGACACACACACACACAGACACACACACACACAGACACACACACACAGTCAGACACAAACACACACACACACACACACAGTCAGACACAAACACACACACACAGACACAAACACACACACACACACACAGTCAGACACACACACAGTCAGACACACAAACACAGTCAGACACACACACACACACAGTCAGACACACACACACACACACACAGTCAGACACAGACACACACACACACACACACACACACTCAGACATACACACACACAATCACTTACATTAACACACTTTTAAAAAGTGGTGGCTGGCGGCGGGTTCAGCCAAGGCAGGGGCTGCTGGAGCCGGAATATGACGCTGTATTCCGCTCGCTCAGCGCGAGCTGAGCAGACCGCCAGAGGAGACCTCCGCCAGCGCCCAGCGCCAAGACCCAGCCCAGCGCTGCACGCCAGCCCAGCATGTCAGTCAGCGGCTAACTAGGCATTTGCCCTGGGCATTTGGGGCGCCCTGGAAATTCGCCCAAGGCAAATGCCTTGTTTGCCTCGCCTAATACGTCCCTGCCTCCAGGCCCCTGGACTGGGCTGCGTGGGCTGGTGTTCTCACACTTCATCAATCCGGGGGTGTGTAGGGGGCACTGCCTCCATCTGTCGGGGGTTGGGGGATACCGGTACAGCCACCACCCTCCCCCTCCACTCATATCTCCTTTTCACTCCTCTCCCCCCACACCCATTCCTCTCCCCTTTCTTCCCTCCCCTCCCTTCCCTTCCTTCTCTTCCCCTCTTTTTTCATTTTTCCACTCTCTCTCTTCCTTCTCGCTCCCCTCTCTCTCTTCTTCACTTACCCCTTTTCCCCACTCTACCCACCTCTTTTTTACATACTCTCCCGCATCCAATTTCTTTACCCATGTTACTAATAGGGCTCCTCATGCATCTGCTGAAATCAAGGTGGGTCACCAGACTCCAGTATTAATCGACTCAAGGTTGGTCGATGAGTACGTGAGACATAACTGATATTCGCTATGGGTCGAGACTAACGTGCCTACTGTAGAATGTATATCTCAACAACCAGTGCACAGGTGTCGGGATCCCCTCTATACCTGCATTGTTCTTTATATCTCTTAACTCTGTAGGGAATATAAAAACGTAAATTAAGTTCGTCATTATGCAAGGACTAGGAAACATTTAAATGTGCTTACATATAGATCGACAGAAATTGATATAGACATAATAATAAATTAATGGAGGTTTTTAGTTACCTCCAATGGCCATGAGAGGGTATGCCCACCTACCACGTCAAGGCAGACCTCTTAGGTGGGTCCTAACTCTAACCATTCACCTTGCTTCCTTGAGCTTCTGGCAAATATATCTCTAATGACACAGAAAGGGGTATTTATTATATACATCCCTATATGCATGTAGGGATGTATATAAAAAAATACCCCTTTCCTGTGAAAATGCACAGATTTTAGAGCTATTATAGCTCTCCATAGATGCGCTTTGGCGTTCCAATCCCCGCCTAAGGATTTTTAGTGTCTTCTTTTATTAAAGTCTCCAGTAAAGAGATCAGGATAAAGTCCAAAGGTGTATTAAAATTAAATACTTTATTAAGTAAGGTTAATAAAATAATAAAATCTAGTACAAAACAGTAAAAACACTTGAAGCGTTTTGCCAATTATTATAATGTCTGTATTTCCAAAGCCTCACTAAAAAAATGATTGACAAAAAGAAGAAAAAAAAAAGACAAACATGAAAATTTCAGCAATTTTTTCAGTTTGGGCTACTCTGGACTTAAATTTGAAATCACTTTGAATTCTCACTTTATTAACTAATCATGTATGGCAAGCATGCCAAACTTGTGCCCCCATGCCTGGATGTTCGCCACGGGCTCCTGGAAAAGTATGGAAGCTAGCCTCTTGCCCACTGACTATGGGCCATTGAAAAGGTTGGTAAAAAGACTTGGTTCAATTGGATTTATTTGTACTGTTCGGGAACAAAACAAACTCATGAACTGCGGACCACCTCTGGGCTTGTTAACCCCTAGTAACCTCTCCTGACACTTCAATTATCGGGTGTTCTAATTGTGCGGCTGTGTGGCCGACGTTCGTATGCATGAACACATGGGAACTGGGTTGGCGGCCATCTTGTTCGCGGGAATGCAGGCAGCGGTGTTTGGGAGTCGATCGCATGGAACTAAAATCGGACATGGAAACTCCCGAACACCGCTGAACTTTGACGAATGCCTGCTTACTTCCCACACATGTCAGGAGAGTGCCGTTCGGTAGGTTTGTTCATATGAACCATAAAAACAAACGTGTGCATTCGGTATTTCTTCCACATGGAACTCCCGAAGTTGATCGACAAAGGCACAAAACAAGGCATAGGGCCATGTGTGTGGCCGGTCAGAAATTTGCCCCGGTGGCGTTTCGGCTGTGTTCGTGTGATCTGAGTGCTTTTCGGATATGTTGGACGCTCAGACCCGGCTATCCAGGGATGTATAAACTATGGGGGTTCCTAGGTTGGAAATATGTGATTTTGTGTGTATAATTTGTCCTTTTATGCTTTGGTAACATGGCATTTTGGGGACATTTTGTGGGTGTGTTTATGGGGGTGTTATGGGCGTGTTTTCTGTGTCCCTGTATTGTATAAAAGCAGGCAATTGAACCTGGATTAAACAGATTTGTTTTAACCCTTCATCAAGTCTAGGCTGATGCTTGGGGGAACTTGGGCTATAATCACTATTGCACTTGGCACTCGGAGATTTATGATGGATGTACTTAGCCGGAGTATAGGGGATCTGTTACAATATGTATATCTGTATGTATCTATGTATGTGTATATGTATATCTGTATGTGTATTTATGTATGTATCTATATGTATGTATTTCAGTATGTATGTATATATGTCAGTATGTGTATGTATATCTATGTATGTCTGTTAGAGATGTCCCGAACAGTTCGCCAGCGAATAGTTCCTGGCGAACATCACATGTTCGCGTTCGCCACGGCGTGCGAACATATGCGATGTTCGGTCCGCCCCCTATTCTATATCATTGAGTAAACTTTGACAACCCCCCCACCCGCCGCTCGGGGGTGGGGGTTGTCAAAGTTTACTCAATGATATGGGGGGGGGACCTACTGTCCTCCACCGGCCCCCACCCCTGAGCGGCGGGTGGGGGCCCTAAATACTAAAAAGGGGGGGACCTAAGGTCCTCCCCCTGGCCCCCCCCCCTGAGCAGCGGGTGGGGGCCCTAAATACTAAAAAGTGGGGGGACCTAATGTCCTCCCCCCTGGCCCCCACCCCTGAGCGGTGGGTGGGGGCAAATAAATCACAATGGGGGGGACCTAAGGTCCTCCCCCCTGGCCCCCACCCCTGAGCGGTGGGTGGGGGCCCTAAATACTAAAAAGGGGGGGGACCTAAGGTCCTCCCTCCTGGCCCCCACCCCTGAGCGGCGGGTGGGGGCCTAAATACTAAAAAGGGGGGACCTAATATCCTCCCCCCGGCCCCCACCCCTGAGCGGTGGGTGGGGGCAAATAAATCACAATGGGGGGGACCTAAGATCCTCCCCCCTGGCCCCCACCCCTGAGCGGTGGGTGGGGGCCCTAAATACTAAAAAGGGGGGGACCTAATGTCCTCCCCCCCGGCCCCCACCCCTGAGCGGCAGGTGGGGGCCCTAAATACTAAAAAGGGGGGACCTAAGGTCCTCCCCCCTGGCCCCCACCCCTGAGCGGCGGGTGGGGGCCCTAAATACTAAAAAGGGGGGGGACCTAATGTCCTCCCCCCCGGCCCCCACCCCTGAGCGGGGTGGGGGCCCTGGGGGGGGACCTAAACCCCCACCCCTGAGCGGTGGGTGGGGGCAAATAAATCACAATGGGGGGGGACCTAAGTCCCCCCTGGCACACCACCCCTGAGTGAGGGTGGGGCCCTAGGCGGGTGGGGGCCCTAAAAAAATGTCCCGCCAGAAAAATAAATCACAATGGGGGGGGACCTAAGTTCCTCCCCCCTGGCACCCAACCCCTAGACCCCCCTAAAAAAATGTCCCGCCAGGTGACTAGGGGTCCCCAAAACCCTAGTCACCCCCTCCCCCCCCCAAAAAAAATTAACCCCTACCTACCCCCCTCACCCTAAAAATAATGAGGGGGGGACCTTTAACTAAGTACCTGTAAAAAATAAATAAAACTTACCATTCGATGTTTTCTTTCTTCTAAATCTTCTTTTTTCAGCCCCAAAAAAGGCCAAATAAAAAACCATAATAACCGACGCAATTAAAAAAAAAAGCGAGCGCAAAAAAAATAATCCATCTTAATCTTTAACATCTTAAAATTCCAAAGAACTTTCCCACGCTGTGTAAAATGACACAGAGCACTCTTATTGGTGGGTTTAAGCCATCCAATCAGAGTGCTCTGTCAGGTAAATGAAGAGACTGACAGGTAAGTCTCTACATTTACCTGTCACAGCACTCTGATTGGTTGGTTTGAAATCCACCAATCAGAGTGCTCTGTGTCATTTTACACAGCGTGGGAAAGTTCTTTGGAATTTTCCCACGCTGTGTAATTTGACTCATAACAACACTCTGATTGGTGGATTGAAAGTAACCAATCAGAGTGTTGTTATGAGTCAAATTACACAGCGTGGGAAAATTCCAAAGAACTTTCCCACGCTGTGTAAAATGACACAGAGCACTCTGATTGGTGGATTTCAAACCAACCAATCAGAGTGCTGTGACAGGTAAATGAAGAGACTGACAGGTAAACTAATGGCTTAAACCCACCAATCAGAGTGCTCTGAGCCTAATTGCAGGGCGGGGCAAGGCTTTATAAGCCTTCCCCTGCCCTGCAGAGCTCAGTCTGCGCGGAGCCCTCGCCGGGTTAAGATGGATTATTTTTTTTGCGCTCGTTTATTTATTTATTTTTTTTATTGCGTCGGTTATTATGGTTTTTTATTTGGCCTTTTTTTATTTGCCGAAATTCGCGTTTGCCGAAAATTTCATGTTCGCGACATCACTAATGTCTGTCTGTGTGTTAAAGCTATGACCGTTACCAGGACCTTGGAGAAGATTCTTAAGGCTGTGCTTATCCCGAATGCGAGAGCCTGGAACTGATAATGATTCTTTCCTCCACAGAATCATAGGACTCTTTGATGAGCTGCAGCAGCCGGAATGTGGAAATATGCATCCCTTAGATCTACTGAAATCATCCAATTTCCTGGATAAATTACTGGGATGATGGACCTTATGGACTCCATACGAAACTTCCTGACTCTTAAAAGAAGATTCCGTTGATGCAGGTCTAAAATAGGTCTCCACTTTCCTCCTGGTTTTCTTACAAGAAACAGAGGGGAATAGAATTTCTGGAATTGTTCCTCATTTGGGACTTGGCCTATGACCTCTTGCTGGAGCAGGGTAGCAAAATTGAACTGTAATGCCCTGGATTGTCCGAGAGTCTTGTTCTGACAAATCGAGGGTGAGGCAAATCGTCTACAAATTCTAGGGTATAGCCAATTGCTACAATAGCTCTTACCCACATATCTGGTATTTCTTCCCAGGCTTTCTTGAACCTTAACAGTCTGACACCGACCAGATAAGCATGGGGACTGTAAACTTCAGAACTGCTTGTGGGGACGAAAGAATCCTTTTGAAGCCTTTCTGGATTGATCACTTCTCCAATTGGTATTTCTGGTATATTTACAACTAGGTCTGTAGGATTTGCTATTCCTATTTGCATTCAAACGTCTGTCCTGTAGGTTCCTCCTGGTTCTTCTATCTTGCGGTAGAAATACTTGCTTAACATCTGCGGCTCTTTTAATGGCATCTTCTAAAGGCTTGCCAAACAACACTTCTCTTGAAAAGGGAAGGGAACTTAAGTTTTGCTTTGAGGCAATATCCACTCCCAATTCCCATCTAATGATATTTATTTTAATGGTCGGCATTTCTCTTAAACCTAGACTTGTACAGATAAAATAAACACTTTAAAAAGATGACACTTTTTTTTAAACATAGTTGCATTAAGTAATTTGAAAACCTCCTCCCTAAATATACCAGTTCGTCACAGTTGAAAATGAACTATATATGTCCATTATTTGTATTTGGACTGCTTCTGGTAAATGGTTATTATTAATAAAGATCATGAAAGTTGATGTGATTGACAGACATACCATTTAAATGTGTCCTACCCTTTGTGCTTCTAACTGCTAAGAGGAATGTGCAGGTCACTTAACTGACAGATGTGAGCACGTTAGTAGCATTGTCGTGAATTGCAAAACACTGTTTAATTAGTATAAAAATGCTGCAAAGAGAAAAGCCGTTGGAAAGATTGGAACAAGTCTTTCTTGCAACTTCGTTGGAACTAAATTATTTGTTTAATAAGCCATTATTCTCTTGGCCATTAAAGTTAAGTACCAGGTCTTTAAAGTTTATTGAGCCCTTAGCTTGTTAAAAATACTCATTACTGTAAAGAGAAAGGCCATTTATTTTATTTGGAGAGGAAAGAAAGGAAGTTCTGCCTTCTGGAACCAAGTTCACAAAAGTTCTTGGAACGCCTCTAACTTTCTTTAGCAACATGGTAACCTCTTTTTCCTTCCTTACTCCCACCTCTTAATTTATGAAGACACAATATCAGCTTCCAAGCGGTCTTTACACTCCCCATATGGATACATGACAAAGAAAACAAAGAAATTCTTATTCCTTCATTGCCGTGTTTCTGCCCATGTTTTTGTAAGCAGCTATTGCACCTGCTGAGCTTTCTTAACAAGGGGTCTGAATGGAGGGAACGGTTCTTTTTGAAGAATGCCAGCTCTTACAAAGGGGAAATAAAGCTTAAAATGCACACCGTTTGTCCAAAACACTCAGTGTATTAAGTATCAATTCCTCTATAAGTTCTTATTTTTAATATTTCAAAAGGGAATATGTTCCAAACTTTGAAACTCAGAGAACAAATTTGAACGGTTTAAAATAGTGGCAATATTCAGAAAAAGAAAGGAGAAATAGGAACAAAGATGACCACTAGTGAAACAAAGTACAAAAATATTGTTAAACACTAATTATTTCTTTACAAGTCATACATTTTCTTGGTTGAAGGATTACCCAATGCAAAGTGCTGGTGACACGTCTTGGTAAAGGCAAACAGACAACTATCAATATTATTGTAATGCACTAACGTTATAAATAAATATATGTATTGATGAACTTGCAGTGTTCCTCAGATCATTTATATTATTGGGCGACCTTAAAAAAAAACTAGAACATGAAGCTAAATTCTTCTTAAACCCAGTGCCATATTGGTTTTAGAGCTGTATCTCCCCTTCTGAGATCATCAATATTGATGATCTCAGGCCTATCCAATATTTGTCATTGAGAGCACTGGAGACTACTGGGCATGTATTTCAATCACTGTTCTCAGCCAATCGGATATCTCTCATATAGATGCACTGAATCCAATGTTTCTCTATTAAAAAACATTCACAGCCTTGGGTGTATCATGCTGTGCAGTAGGAAGTATTTGTTGTGGCTTTCTGATTGCATAGACTTTATACTCGGGTCCCCCTGGTCTTGCTGGAGCTCGCCTCTCCCTCAAACTCTTCAGACCTCGCTTCTGGGCGCTTCCCAGTTCTCTTTCAGTATTGTGAGTAGAGATGTCGCGAACCGTTCGTGAACTTCCCGCGAACGGCTCGCCGCGGTTCGCCACGAACCGTTCACGGCGAGCTCCGGTCAGCTGACACATCCCGGCCAATCTCCAGCAGACCCTCCCTCCCAGACCCTCCCACCTCCTGGACAGCATCCATGTTGAAGCTGCGGTGGGAGGGTCTGGGAGGGAGGGTCTGCTGGAGATTGGCCGGGATGTGTCAGCTGACCGGAGCTCGCAACGAACCGTGGCGAGCCGTTCGCGGGAAGTTCGCGAACAGTTCGCGACATCTCTAATTGTGAGTAACCCACAGCTGTCGTGCCGCAGTCACGGGCGTACAGCATCATCCTGGTTTTGCATTATACACTTTGCTTTGTTTTCCCACGAACACGTTCAAGTCGTTTAGTTTCCTTTTCTGTTCACTTGCTTTGCACGAACGCTTGTTTATTCGTACGCATGAATGGGCTGCATTCTGTGGTTTGGTTAGTTTTCCATATCATTCATCTATTTTCCTTTGTTTTCGGTTTTGTACGTTGCGCGCTCGGGTCCTGTTCGGCTATTTCACGTGCAATGTTTTGTATGCCTAATACCATTTGGTAGTTGTAGGCATTTCGTCTCTTTACAGTCGAATGCTCCATGTATTTGTTTTGTTCTGTCTTAAATACATGAACAAATTTGGCTACAGGACGTTCGCTTAATTTTCAAACGAATGCTCCCTTTGTGTTTAATTCGGTTCTCACGACCATTTACACGAATGTATTGTGACACGTTCCAGATCTGTCGATTGTTCTGAGACAAGCCGGGGGATGCCCTCTAGTGGTCCTTATTCATATTACATCTCTCTCACAGTGTTGGTTCTTTTCTCAATTACGTCTCACTTTCATTTATTTATTCTTGTTGGTTATTTATGACTGGTATGTTGCTAATTTTCATACGCCAGGTTGCATTTTGTTCTTGTTTCTCAGTTCTCATGTTTTTTTATGCTTGTATGTCTGTCTTTGATATTTGGTCAGGTACTGGTACAAATTGGTGAATATTCATTCTTTGTGTCTGTATTATACGTCCTTTCCATGCTGGTTTTATGGGTCATTCATCGTATCACTAAACGCCTCTCGCTATTCATACATACTCTACTATGTACATACTTTTCTTTTAGATGAGTGGGCCCACGATCTGGCCCTTACTTCTCACACATACTGTGATACATACATAAGTCTTCTTTTAGGTGCATGGGTCCACGATCTGACCCTTACTACTCATACACACTGTGATACGAACATATGTTTACTTTTAGGTGCATGGGTCCGCGATGTGGCCCTTAGTATTCATACACACTCTACTATGTACATACGTTTCCTTTAGGTGCATGGGTCCACGATCTGGCCCTTAATACTCACACATACTGTGAAACGTACATACATTTTCCTTTTAGGTGCATGGGTCAACGATCTGACCCTTACTACTCATACATACTGTGATATGAACATACATTTTCCTTTTAGGTGCATAGGACCATGATCTGACCCTTACTATTCATACACACTCTACTACGTACATATGTTTCCTTTAGGTGCATGGTTCCATGATCTGGCCCTTAATATTCACACATACTGTGATACATACATACGTTTCCTTTTAGGTGCATGGGTCCATGATCTGACCCTTACTACTCATACATACTGTGATACGAACATACGTCTCCTTTTAGGTGCATGGGACCACAATCTGGTTCTAACTATTCATACATACCCTAATACGAACATACGTTTCCTTTTAGGTGCATGGGTCCACGATCTGGCCCTTACTACTCATACATACTCTGATATGAACATACATTTTCCTTTTAGGTACATGGGTCCGCGATCCGGCCCTTACATCTCACACATGTACGTTACATCATCATATCTTAGGTGCTAGGTATCTTCAATTTACTGCACAACCCCCTACTTTATGGTTGAACCTAACATTTCCCATACTCCCTTAGTTAGTTTCATTACTGGCTGACAGGGCACCAAATGTCCAATAGCTAATACTTTCTCAGGCCTCTATGCCTTAGGTTAGTGGTCCCGCAAGGCCGACACCCATCCTCATACTCGGAGGTACTTCGCCCATCGGCCCAACTCATAGTTAGTTGCCTCATATGGTGGCATAGAAAGGGCCTCACCTGTCACTCCCATTCTGTTTTATGCTTTACAAGTCACCGAGAGGCCGACACCCCACCTCAACATTCAGTGGCCATGAAAGCCCCTCACGCCAAGGCATACATAGTGCCTCTCAAGCCACTTGGCATCTAGCAGGGCCTCACTAGTCATCAACCTAGTTTGATGGTTTCGCCAATGGGCAATAGTTAGTAAGCTAGTACGTTATTAGGGTACACGCAGTTACTTCACGTTATTTCACCTTTCAACGACATGAGGGTGTAAGTCCTGTCCCTGACCAGCTCTCATACTTGTTCTGACACTACATCACACTGGGGACGTGGCTGGTCCTGCTTCTATTAGACTTTGGACTGTAACCTTGTATCTTAGCAGAACTTTGTTGGCACATGAGGTACCAGCAATGGCTGTATTAGGTTTTCAACAATGCATTTTGTTCATGTTCATATCAAATTGAAGACCTACTATTGCATTTGGCTTTTCAATAATCACAGCGTAATAGCATTCCTCTTTCGGCTTTCAATATTAAGCCCCTTAAGAAGACATATCGATTTCTATACTTTGTCTCTCAACTTGGCTCCCCCTAAATGATGGGTGTCGCACTGGCTAGGATTGGTTTTATGCCAGGCTCACAAGCATGTAGATATACATGTGGGTATATAGTGGGTGGGAGGGCGTGTCTACGAATATATTTGTGTATATATATATATATATATATATATATATATATATATATTTATATATATAAAACCAGTAAATCTTGGCAATCACCCCTTTGATTTCAAATGAATAAAGCTTGCCTAGGTGCTCCCTTAGCGTGATAATACAATCCAGTAGAGAGAAGGTGCACTCAAAGGTCTTTTTTTCTTTCAAACGATAATTTATTTATCACCACAAATTTGTCCCAATCAACGTTTTGACCCACACAAGGGTCTTTTTCAAGATCCAATAAATTATCGATTGAAAGAAAAAAAGACCTTTGAGTGCACCTTTTCTCTACTTGATTATATATATATCTATATATATATATATAGATATATATATAATATATATGTGTGCACGTGTGTGCGTGTTTTCACGCACACTCTGGTCAATTTATTTTTCGTACTATTGTACTCAGTGTCATGTTGGTAATATGTGTTTAAGTTACCCTCGGTTCCTATTTCACAACTCAAGATCAGTTGATTATTCTTGCTTAACATATCTTACGTATCTACATGTGCCTCAAGCGGTTGTTTTCATACATCGTTAGTATCTGCATACTGGTCAATATGATCACGAAGAACTGTATTCTCTTTTGGGTTCCCCCAACTTTGCGATGGGGATTTTCCCATATGGTCAAGCTTTCATATCCAGATTGCTCAACTTTCCCATTTTCAGTCCGATAACCTCCATACGGCGCTTGACTAATATGCCACCTCCTATTGGCGCACACGGAGGAACTTTCTACTTAAGGGTAGGGAAGCATGTTTTCGCCCCCTTTTTACCATCGAGTCTCTTACAATTTGCATGTGTTGTGGACAGTTCAACTATCAGGTGTAGCTCAGATAACCGGCCACATGCTACATGGACTAAACACGTTCGGCGTTCCTGTCTATGACGCCCTTCATGAGGATACTAACTTGGTCAGCTGCTACTAACTACTTTCTTGATATATGCCCATATTCCAGGTATTGTCGACTTTGTCACATACTTCGTCTTGTTCTTAAATATGCCAAGTCTTCCGTAATATGAATATGTAATATATGGTTATATGCTTAAATTGTAGGCTGTATAATCTTGTATGGTATACTCTTTTTGCCCTCTTTTATTACAGGCCCACTGCATCGTCGGTTCTGGCACACCTCAGCCGACTTTTTTAGATTACTTTGTCTCATATAAGGACTTTACATACCTACTTATTATATGCTCTCATTATGGCTTTCATGCCCCGACCACAACTTCTAAAAATGTGGTATTTTTAGTTATTTCCAAAGCCAGTAAAACCCTTGTATTTATGTTTGGGTGCCATTATTGGCAATGCTTTACTGATCTGCACATCCTAGCACTTAAACACTTCATATTAAAATGTTTTCCCCAAAATACTTTGTGTTGCATTAGCAGTCTGTAATTGTGAGGAATATATTCTTTACAAGCAATTAAACTGAATATTTGAATGAAGATGTTAGACAAAGCAGCTTAATGTACATTTGTCTCTAAAAACTGCAACATAAACCTGCAATAAAAATAGTGTAACAAAGAGCTCTAAACATAATACACAAGAAAAACGTAACTGTTATTAGGCATGTGCATGGAAATATTTTCGGTTCGGCTCGGCATTCCGAAATTCGGCACTTCGGCAAATCGGCACTTTGGAACTTCGGCACTTCAGCACTTCGCCACTTCGGAACTTCGGTAACTTCGGCACTTCGAAACTTCTAAATTGGTCTTTCAGACAAATTTACTAATACTAAGTAAAGATTACTTAGTATTAGTCAATTATGTCCCTACTGGCTATACCGCGAGTAGGGGGCATGTCAAGTAAACAGTGAGCGCCAGGTGGGGGCCCTAAAGTAAAATAATGGGGGAGGGACCTGAGTGGTGGGTGGGGGCCCTAAATTAGAATGAGGGGGGACCTAATGTCCTCCCCCCTGGCCCCACCCCTGAGCGGTGGGTGGGGGCCCTAAATACTAATTGGGGGGGACCTAATGTCCTCCCCACTGGCCCCTACCCCTGAGCGGCGGATGGGGGCCCTAAATAAAAAAATTAACCCCCCCAAACCCTTATAGAGCCTTGCCCCTCTCTGTAATTAGGCTCAGAGCACTCTGATTGGTGGGTTTAAGCCATCCAATCAGAGTGCTCTACTGACAGGTAAGTCAACATATCTCTAAAGAAGTCCTTTAAATACCTAGGAATCACCATAGGGCAGGTACACTCCCACCTATATACGAACAACTACAAACCCCTATTGCAGACACTTAAGCTAGAAATAGAGAGTTGGCAGGAAAAAAACATTTCATGGATAGGATGTAAACACTGCATAAAAATTAAGTTTTTACTTAGGCTACTG